CCGCCAGAAATGGGTACCTTTCTCAGGCTTCAGGTCAGGGATATGAAAGGGTATGGATTTCACTTGTTGAAGTATATGAAAGTATAGGGGTCATTTCGGTCGGTAAAAAGCGGGTCCAGAGGGGCTAACAGATGCATTTTGTGGCTGTGAAAACGTTCGGGTTTTGTGATTTATTCACTGGCATTTTAAAGAAAGTGCAATCACAGCAGTAAAAGCTATGCAAATTTCTAATTAGGTATATGAAAGGGGAACCCTTTGTCAATAGAAAGTATACGATTGGGGTATATTTTCGGTCAAAAATACTAAATATGATATAAGAAGGTAAGGAGTTGGATCTCGGGGCGGAGCCTTCCCTTAAAAAACTTTTTTGACTACCTCCCCCCCCGGGTAGGGGGGGGGGGGGGTTAAATAACTCCTGAGTTAAGAACACCAAAGCTAAAAACGTGAAACACGGTCCTTCCAAACAAAAATTGTTAATCAAAACAGCTCTTCTAAACAGAGTTCAGAACATATCGTGCTGAAATACATGTAAAAACGCGCGTGTAAGAACCTATATTTTTTGAAGTCTGCCAAAAGACTTTCTTGTATGTAAGACTTTCTTGTTTATTTTTGTCTTGTTCTTTTATGCAAGGGCCATGAAGACAATATTACAATATTTACTTTATAACCTGTTTTTGTTGTAGGAATAATACAGTAATACTTTGCAATTACAGTTTGGTACGTACAGTTTTGTCGTGTAATACCAGTTTGTAATCTCAAAGTCAAACTCCTTGGTTAAAATGTTTATCATAATTAACTTTTACCCACATATAAGGGAAGGGAATGATATGTTATTAAGTCTGTATTTCTCACTGATATACCCTCACCTTATTTATGGTAATATAGTCTGGGGTAATAATTAGAAGACAAGAATTGATAGCCTAATCAAAATTGAAAAGAAAGTAGTGCGTGTGATAACTTTTTCCTCATACACTGAATCATCAAAGCCGCTATTTGCAAAAAATTGGAGATCCTTAATGTTAATCAATTAAATAATAAGCAAACTATATCCTTTTTATGATTGACCTATTTAATAATAAGTTGCCGTATAATTTAAGAGATATTTACATTTTGAATAGTGAACTTCATTTGCATGCTACTAAGCGAAGCAATAATATACTTAAGCAGTTTTACAGAACAAACTACGGCTATTATTCAATACAGTGTAAAGGGACGAATTTGTGGAACTCTATACCAGACGATTTGAGGAACACAAATTCACAATATACTATAAAAAAGAAATTAGAAAAGTGCCTTTTGTCACAACAGTGTTAAGAGAATGCTTAGTGGTGTGCAAGTTTATAAATTGAAATTAATTTATAGTTAGATTTATAGTTAGATTATGCTTCATATGGAGTCCAGACCTGATAAAAAATAAAAAAAGGGAACAATAGGGGAATCTTGTAAAAGCCCGTAAGGGTTTCCTAAATTCACCATATTGGTGTAATTATATCTGTTTAATATAATAAAGTTAATGTTGTTGTTGTAAGAACCTGCTTGTTTTTCTTAGCAGTTGAGGTTCTCATATTTTTGGGCATTAAAGTGGCAAGTTTCTGCCAGCAGGTTCTTAAACCCCTAGGATCTTACACGAGGGTTTTTATATACACCTAATTGCAATAACGTTGTCTTAGAAAAATGAAAAAAGGGAAAAAGCCAAATAGGAATTAATTAGGCTAATTAAGCCACATTCATTAAAGTTTTGGTTATGTCTTGGCTGACATTCTGAAATTAAAACAAGAGAGAGACGTTTCGAAAATCGTCTTTTATTAAGGACCAAACACATTAATTATTGGTAGAAAACCAGAATTACTGAAAACTTTGACTGATTCAGAAACTCATTAGCTGCTGCTTGACTCAATGCGATTCATTCAAAAGCGAACTCAGTTATGTCTGTAACTGGGCAAGCTTGAACGGAAATTTTGTTGTAGTTACTGGCGACCTAAATCTGAACAGTCTTCGCCCTGACAAACCTGAAGGTAAACTGCTTCTCGATTTGGAAGTTGAACAAGGTTTTGAATGTCTAATTACTAAGCCAACAAGAATAGAAAAGCGTGGAATAATTATAACAGAGAGTTTAATAGATGTTTTGCTCACTAATAGACCGGATAGCTTCCACCTATCTGGTAATTACCATCCTTGCTTAAGTGATCACGACCTTGTTTACGGTGTCCTGAAGCAGAAAATAAATCACAACAAACCAAAGGTCATCACATTTAGGAGCTATAAGAACTTTGACCCTGAACATTATAAACAGCTTTTGTCCTCTGCCCCATGGCACGTTGGACAATTGTTTGATGACGTCGACGATCAAGTTTACGTGTGGAATGCACTTATGAACAATATACTGGACGAAGTGGCACCTGTGAAAAAAAAATGCGTGTGCGTGATAAAGATGTGCCCTACATGACGTCTCATTGGAAAAGTGCGATTAGAGCTAAACGCAAAGCAAATGACAAGTACTTGAAAGACAAAACGCCAGAAAATTGGGAATTACGACGTAAAGCCAGAAACGAGGCCACTAAACAAAGAAGAATCGCCATCAAACAGTACTGGTATAATAAGTCAAACGATTTGAAAATCAATCCCAAGGCGTTCTTCAAAACTTTCAAGCCATTTTTGGGCTCTAAGAGCTGTACTGAAAGAAACGACATCCACTTAAAAATAAACGGCAGTATGATAACGAATCAACAACAAGTGGCTGAGGAATTGGTTGAGCATTTTGCTACCTTGGCGGATGGCATTGGCGGTACAGCGATTGAAAGAAAGTCAATAGAGGACTTTAGAGACCATCCTTGTGTTCAGAGGATACAACATGAAAATAGGAATTCCACTCAGACCATCGAAATCGAATTGGTTACACAGGGACAAGTCCTTACAGTTCTCGATTCGCTGAACATAAACAAAGCCACCGGCACTGATGGAATTCCTTCAAAGGCTTTAAAAACAGGTGCTAATGAATTATCCGCTCCACTAACCACCTTGTTCAATTCTTGTATTAACAAGAATGCATGGCCTAGTGAATGGAAGTATGGGCATTGGGCCCCAGTATACAAAAAGGATGACAGGAATGCAAAGGAAAACTACCGGCCCATAACTCTCTTACCATGTGTTAGTAAAGTTCTTGAGAAGTTGGTTGGAGCGCAGATCAACTCTGGCTTTGGTAATCGCATTTACCAACACTCATCCGCTTATCGCAAAGCTCACAGCTGCGAAACAACATTGATCAATTTAGTAGAAGATTGGAGACTGGCGAGGGATCGAAAACAGGTTGTGAGCATACTTTCAACTGACATGTCAAAGGCATTTGACTCGTTACACCCACCACTACTTCTGAACAAGCTTGAAGCGTACGGTTTTCAGGAAAGCGCTATTCAACTTTTAAACAGCTATTTAAATGAACGGAAATATCAAGTAAAGATCGGCCGTCATGTTAGTTCGAGCCGATTCGTGAGTCGTGGCTGTCCTCAGGGTTCCGCGCTTGGCCCGTTGTTATGGAATGTTTTCCAGAATGACCTATCCTACTGCCTAACAGCGAACTTGTCTATGTATGCCGACGACCATCAAATTTACCACGCAGGAGCAGACCAGGCAGCTGTGACTTCCCAGTTAAAGGATAGTGCCAACTTAGCAACAACGTGGTACGATTCTAACTTATTGGCGGGAAACCTCAAAAAGTACCAAGTTTTGAACTTGGGCTTCACTCAAAATGACAGCAATATTTGCGTGAATGATGTTGTGATTGAAACTAAAGATAATATCATACTTCTAGGAGTAGTGTTAGATTCTAAGCTAAATTTCTCTGAGCATGTAATCTCTATCTGTAAAAAAGCCAGCCAGACAATTGGTGTTCTAATGAGACTACGTAATTTAATTCCTATGAAATCTAAGTTAATATTATTCAAAAGCGCGATATTACCATTCCTCACGTACTGTCACCTAGTGTGGCATTTTTGTAAAGCGAGTGACACTCGAAAGCTTGAAGGACTACAAGAAAGAGGACTTAGAGCGGTTTTCAAGGATAATAATTCTAGTTATGAACAACTATTAGAGAAGGCAGATCTGCCAACACTACTAAATAGTCGCTCACAGGATCTGTGCATCCTTATGTATAAAGTAAAGCATAAACTGTGCCCTGCATATATAAGTAACATCTTTAAAGAACCAAATAGTAATTACAATCTGCGGCAAGCAGATTTCTCTATACCTAGGTATGAGACAGTCACCTATGGCAAGCACTCTATTAGATATTTAGGGCCTAGGCTATGGACAAAACTACCCAAGAGTATCAGGGACGTCACAACCCTAACGTCGTTTAAAAGCAAGATACGCCAACTCAATATAAGTGAACTTTTAGATGATGGCTGCGCAGGCTGTAGCCTTTGTTCATTTTGACTTCTGTGTATTTTTACTATAAATCTCTTAATTAGTTAACTATAGATATTTTACCTACTACTGTATATAGTTTTTAGTTTGTATATTCTCCCCTAATTGGTGTCCCCAAATTAGTAAGGGATTTGTTCCCTGGCTAGACGGTTTTTGACACTTTAATAAAGTTTCTATTCTATTCTATTCTATTCTATTGACCAAGCGTGAGGTCAAGATGGCTGGATATTGGCCATTTTTTTGCGTTTTTTATGGACCGAGAAGAAGTCGAGGTCGATAAAAACGCAAAAAAGGACGAGGCCAATATCCAGACATCATGACTGAACAAGCTTTGTCAACAACGGATTTATCATAGCCAAAACGAGAACATTTTTTCTTACGGGACCAACGCGAGATATCCTGAGAGAGCAAGTTAAGAATGGCTTGGGTTGCCAGTAAGAGCACAGGATTCGCTTTATCTTCCCCACTCGCGGATTCGGCCATATAACAAAATTTCTTACCGTCTGCACCCCATTCATTGGCGATAACAGTTAGATAACAGTTTTTTCTCTGTCTTGTTAGGACTGTTGGCATATATCATGACCCAAATTGGCTTGTTCTTGTTACTTCTCCTAGCGATAACAATGTCTCAGGCTGGTAAGTATTTTCACTGTCACGCCATCAAAGAAAAAAATCAAAACCGTTCAATAGATATATTCCAGAATCTGGGAAACAAAATGGGATAAATATCCTAAGATCTTCACCAAGATTCAGGTCAGCACAATTTTTCGTTTTAGAGATACTCGGAGATTTGATTTACCCAAAGTTATAGAGCTTTGTGTGGAGCCGCCATGTTGGTGCCCATCCGGATGAACACCAACATGACGGCCGGAACTCAACACAAACATCTGTCACTGAGTTTTGCTTTGAAAGCGTGAATTCATTCGTCGGGAAACTCTTAAAAATTAAAGCGATACTTTTTCTAACACAATAATTGTCCAGGTAGCAAAATCTCCCCAAATATGGTACTTTTTTGACCAGACAGCTCTCTCAGCCGCCATGTAAATGCTGCGTCACTCAAAAGCTTATTAGAAATTCAAGGCACTGTATCACAAAAGGAAAACTCTTTCGAAGTAAAAATTGTTTGAATATTGATTTTTAGTACGTATTAAAACGGTGGATAATGTTTTTCACACCCTCTCATGCTCGGGATATCCAGTGCTATTCACCTCCGAGCGACGCCAAACTTGCTTAAGTTACGAGAAAAATGTTTTTTCGGTTTTCTTTCGTAATGTCTCAGTCAATTCTAAGCGTGGCCATCCCCCCCTTGGGCATTTGTCATGTTGCCTGGTATGGGCGGTGGGGAATTGTCAGAAAACCTCTGCCCGGGGGTGGGGCATTTGTCAATTCTTCTAGACGCGGTTAACGTCGTTCTTTTTTCAATATTTCACTTAAAAAAATATGTTTCTTTAAACAACTTTAAAGAGGTAAAGAAGTATATGTGGTTCTCGCTCCATCACTTCCCTATCCCACAATATTTTTTGCATCCGTTTGCTTCCCGCCATCGTGATCAATTCGCACATGGAGTAAAAACAATAAATGCATCGTTTGAAGAGTTTAAAGGAAAAGACGCTTTTTTTGTGCGTGAGTGGTTAAGCCAGAAAGGACTAGAAAAACTTTGCGAGATATTTGAAAACTAACATACACTTCGTGCACTGTACGATCAATGCAACAATTTTAAAATCCGCTGACGAAACGGTTCCATTGTGATGAGAAAATAAGCTTACTCATGTTAAGCTCATCGGGGGGTATGGGCACGCTTGGAATTGACTGAGCGATAATGAGAAAAAAAAGCTGTTCCCGTTGAAATTCGGTTTTGCAGTTTTTACAGATAAAGCTTGAAGGGATTTGTTTAGCTCTTGCGGAGACATTTCTTCAAAAACAGTTGTGAATTCTTTCTCTGTTTGAAACCATCCTGTAAAAAATAATAATAATAATAATAAAATTAAATTCAGTTTTAAGCTTTGGTAACGCATGACGATGAAAGATCGATGAAACCGGTAAAAAGGTTTTTTTGTTACAAAATTAATTAACAGTTAAAATTAATTAACATTTAATGAATGATGCTGAAAATTATGAACTTAAGCCAAAATTTAAGCTCTAAAGTTTTCAGTGCGCAGAGTTCTCGACCGATAATCAATTTGATAAACATAACAAAAACCAACCATTGTGAGCGTAAATCGTCACCCATAATAATAGGTAATCAAATGGTATACTCGTGAAATTAGGGAATAATTTCACACCCGCGTGAAATTATTCCCTAATTTCACGAGTCACAGTTTGATTACACATACTAATATGTCATAAAACTCGGGTGGATAGATAATTGATTACTTTGATGACGTCATGTGAGAACCAGCAATGCCATGGAAATAAACAAAAAAGTCGGGAAGAGAGTGAGATTAACAGGCTCCTACTCTTCTCTTAGATTTTTTGTTGTCAAGTTTATCTCGGATTGCCCAATGATGGGGTCTGTCTGCGATACTATTCGCCGCTACTGGTCTCCCAAAATAGTCAAAAGCTAAACCAATTAAGATAAAAGCTGTAATACTTAAGGTGGCTCGACTGGATTTTTTGGTGGGGATACCTCCCATGTTTGAGCTTTAACTACGTCTGCATGAGTAAAGATATGGGAAAAAGGTTACCACAACTGTATTATATAATGATGAAAATTTTTTATGATCTGGGTTTTGTTGCAATCGGAGTCGCCATGGCAACTTAATGACGCCATTACGCTTTTTATTTATCTTTGTGTTTCTCTGTACCAGGAGTTTTTTGAAGAAATCGCTTAAGGGAGTATGTACCTCCCATAATTGCCTCCATTATAGCAAAGTTTCAACAAATTCTATGAAAGCGTTTTCAAAATATTTTGACACGCAGTTTTAACAATCATAAAAACAGTGAAATAGCATGCTATCCACACAATTCGCTAATATTTTAAGAAACTGATAAGCTTTGGAAACGCGGCTTCATCCCATAGTGGTTTGATGCCATTGAAAACTGCATACAAAAAAGAGGGGAATTGCTCTAAGCGATCGCGAGTAAGAAGAATTTTATTGACTTGCATTCAGCTGCTTTTGTTACAGTTTTTGGACTTAATTTGGTCCATGTCTACAAATTTTGCATTTTTCAAAAAACCGCTCAATAAATTTTTTTATAAATTCGACAATCTGAAGATCAATTGTCAATAAATATTCCCTGCAAGTTTCAAGAACATTGAAAACAGGGAAGACTTTTAAATAGGGCCTGAAATATAACCAATTTTTTCCCGCGATTATGTGTTTACAAGTGAGCGTCCTCATTATTCACTGGCATTGTTTTCAAGTTTCATATGCACGTGCACAACTACCAAAAGATATAAATTTGCATCAAAAAGAACTCTCGATTACTTTCCGAAGAAATATTCGGAATATGCTAATAATTGGCTTGTGTCACCGACTAGAATTTGTTGAAACTTTGCCATAATGGAGGCAATTATGGGAGGTACATACTCCCTTAAGCGATTTCTTCAAAAAACTCCTGGTACAGAGAAACACAAAGATAAATAAAAAGCGTAATGGCGTCATTACGTTGCCATGCCGACTCCGATTGCAATAAAACCCAGATCATAAGAAATTTTCATCATTATATAATACAGTTGTGGTAAACCATTTCCCATATCTTTACTCACGCCGACGTAGTTGATGCTCAAACTTGGGAGGTATCCCCCCAAAAAAATCCAGTCGAGCCACCTTAAGAACCTTGCATGTTTTTAACAAGATACGTGTTAGGGCCTGTTTACATGGAGGTGGGGGACCCCAGGAAGGTGAGATAACATGTGGCGGGTCACCCCGCCTATCATGTAATTCAACGTGATCAAATTAAAATGAGAAGTATATGGACAGGCGGTTTACTCCACCTAAATGGGTTACCTCGCCTACCTGGGGTCGCCCACCTCCATGTAAACAGGCTCTAAGAGTTTATTTTATTATATAAACACCAATAAAATACCAGTTGAGCTTTCGCGCGAAAATTTGATATCTTCACACGTTATTTTCAGATGGAAAAGATCACCGTTGCTATGGCTACATAATAAATCGCGCCTTTCACAGCAAAAAAATATTTAAGGGAAATGGTTTGGCATTTCATCGGTGTACATATAATAAATAGAAAATTGCATGGCCGCTTGAGAAACGAAATTTCTCTTCTCATGTTGAAAAATATTTCACTCGTTTGCTGGGCTCACTCGTGGAATATTTTTCAACACTCGAAGAGAAATTTCGTATCTCTGCGCGGCCATGTAATATCCTCTACTTCTTTCTTGCAGTCTTATTACATGCTATGGGCAGAGTTCTGATAAAGCAGTGAAACTTTATTCTTCGTATTATTACTGTTTGTCGTCCGAATTGTAGCGTCATAAAAAACAGCTGCATTAGCTTGCATTTGAACATAAATGCCACCTGTATTATTATTATTATTATTATTATTATTGTTATTATTATTAATAATTAGTGTCATCTCAAAGGACATCTTCCGGGAGTTGGTCCCTTCCATTCTTATGTAATTTTCTTTGCTTTTCTCTATAAGGCCGAAACCTCACATGTCCTCAAGACTGGAAAGAATTTGAAGACTCTTGCTACAAGGTTATGGATAGTTTTGGTTATTCGCGGGAATTCAGTTGGTCGGGAGCTTTAAGCGTGTGTTATGGGTTTGGAGGAGACCTTGTTAGTGTGGCCAATAAAAAGGAAATGGATTTTGTTTATAGCCTTTCTCCCAATATCACCGACAATCCAGCTTGGATTGGGCTGGTTTATCAGTTCCGGAAAAATGAATATTTATGGAGCAATGGAGAATCTTTTAATGGGTCTTTTTCCGTCGAGTCGCTTGATTACTGTATAAATAGTACTGTATGTGAAGACAAATGTGGCGAAATCTTCAGAAATGATTTGAACCTCACCAAATGTTGCAAGAAAAACAAATATTTCATCTGTGAAAGGGCGAAAGGTAGGTAGTTCCTAAGAAAGCACTTGATAAGAAAAAAATTAAGGATAGGCGGGGTTGTGTTTTTTTTGTTAAAAACATCTCATAAACTACAGCTACAAACCAGTGGGGAGTACCGGACCTTCTGTAAACAAATATAAGGATACAAAGAGATTTTGATATTCTTTTGTATCTCATCTCTGTATTCTCTCAGTCTTCTTGATGTAAGGATCAGTTTTTAATTTGTAGTTTTGCATATATATGGTCAGTTTTGAGCAGTTTTGCCAAATAAAGATTACACTTAAGCTTTGACTTGTTCCGGGGGTGGGGGGTCGTCTCTATAAAAATTTGGAGGTGCTCGTTGAAATTTCAAAATACACCCCTAAAAGATATCAGAATATAGCATGTGTGTGTGGCTCAAATTCATTTTAACCCCTCCTGAGAGGTACTATACGGAAAAAACGGTTGAGTAACCAAAATACATCTAATAATTTTCAGCGAGACATCCCGTCGACAGGCTTCTAAGTGGTATCAATCCACAAATCAAATATTAACCCCCAAAGGTAGGACGAGTTCCCTTATTATCTTTTTTGGTGACTTCTCCCCTGGGGACTTGTTTTGCTTTGGTTTTTTTCTACTCTTATCGCCAAAGTTACTTCGAGTTTTAATTGGTTCACTGCTCACGTTGTCCCTCTTGTCGGATTAGTACATATATGTGTCAATCAAATGCCATAATTTCACGGGTGTTACACTCTTGTCCAAATCCTACTAATTTGGGCGAGGGGAATTATTACCTAATTTCACGAGTATACCATTTGATTACCTCTGATTATGGGTGACCCCACTGACGAATTACGCTCACAGTCGTAGGTTTTTGACATGTTAATCAACAAGATTATCGAACCAGAAATCCACGCACTGAAAACTTAATACAGCTTAAAGTCTTCCTTAACTTTATAAGTTTCAAACTTCTTCGACAAAATTCCTGATAGAAACCTTCTTGATGTGCTCTTTCGTGTGTTTAGGTTTTCTTAACCGTCTTTTGATGCGCCGACATCTTCATTTCTAACATTTAAAAACTTTGCCGCCATCTTAGCACTGAGACGTACGAAAGGTTGCCAAGGCAATTTTATAATTTCACATGTGAAATTATAAATTAGCCCTGAAATTTCGCGCCACTTTGTCACCCATCAGATTGACTTTCTTGGTTCAGTGTACTACTAACTGCTCTTTAAATTAGGTCCACTGGCTTGTTCTACCGATTGGTATCTCAGTGGGTCATCTTGCTACAGAGAAAATAAAAAAAATCTAAATACATGGATAGGTGCTCAAGAGGCATGTTCTGACTTCGGAGGAGGTCTGGTGAAGATAGATAATTACGATCAGCACCGATTTTTGATTCGTTTCCTGGAAATTTCTGGTCTAAAGAAAGTGGGAATAAATGTAAGTACGAGTTATTTACTTCAGGAATCACCAGGTGTTAAAATTAAGCGTAAAGACATGCTTACTCATATCTTCTTCTTGTGTAAAGAATAGAGAGAAGTTACTACGTCACGTTGCTACGGAAGCAAAATTTCTGAATCTCAACAAACCTTTTGTTCGCGCAAATATGGCAATTTTTACTTGCCGAGTTGTTTGAATATTATCCTATGCATGATTGTTCTGATCTCAGGAACAAAACAGTTAGTAGCCCATTCGCCACTTTAGAAAATACCATAATGATCCTTTTGTCCCCCCACCCCCCAAATTTTGCATAACTATTGTTTTCAATTTCTCTTGGGACTTAGAATCGTCCCAAAAGAAACTGAAACTACCATGGCTATGCAAAATGTTTTTTTGCGGGACAAAAAGATTATTACGGTATTTTCTAAAGTGGCCAATACCTTTCTTCCATAAGATTGTTGAGATCCAGGAATTTTGCTTCCATGATAAGATGACGTCACACTTCTCTCTATTGTGCAATGTTTAGTAATAGTGCACCGTCTGTCAATCAAGGTTTACTAAGAAAGACGTAACAAAAGCACTACCGTTTTTTTAAGGTGAGTGGCAGTGATTTGCAGCATTTTTCGAATAATGTGACAATAACAAACGCCCCATGATTAGTGAGGAGGCTATAAAAACTTTTTGACAGGTTTTCATGTTTTAAAGCACCCTTAACGATAGCCTTTAAGGTGGCTCGATCCGAATGATTACCTTGGTACAGTACTCGATCATGTTGTTAGTTGCAGAAACAATTTCCTCCCACGGTCCCTAGCTTCAACTTGAAAAGTCTCTCCTTGTAAGAAAGGAATGTGCAATTTGTAAATCGCCCGAAAAATTGACACATTCACTTGTATAGTAACAAAAGCTTTATATGCAATGTCCGACAGAAATAAAACTGATTTTAATTTGCTCTGCAAGTTTTAAGAGACAGAAAATTGCTGTTTATATATAAAAGTATTTAAAACCCCAGTAACTTATTTACTTCTCACTTAGGGCAAAAATTAATGACTCCAAACTAATGCCAATCATTTCTTATTTCAAAAGGCTAACTTGCCTATCCATCCACGGCTTAAAAACGCACAGCTGGCAGACCTGAATAAACCCCCATTTAATATGGGGGTCTTGTTTGTACTTAACTAGATTTGTTAATGTCTTGTCTGTGTCCATTTTTAAGTACGTGTGGTTTGGCAACACCGGGAACTCAAGATGTAGAGGAATGAACACAGAGACTGGAACGATGGAAGAGCCCGACAACTGTGAAGGGCAGTATATGCACTATGTTTGTGAAAGGCCAGCCGCCTCAACTATAAGTGAATACAAATTTTATATGATCCAATTCTACTAAAGGTTTAGTTAATGCCCGGGAGGACTGATGCTTCCCCATATAAAAAGACGGGGATACTCGACGCCTTATTTAGGGGTACGGGTAAATTGCAGATCAGTTTAGTGTCATTACTCGGGTTAAGGACTGAAAGCCATATTTGGACCTACACAAGTATCTTTAAGGGCTTTGCGCGAAGAAATGACGGATAAAGAAGAAGAAAAGAAGACACAGTTAATACCGAGCTTCATACCTGTTAAATGATATAAGTTCAACGGTTGTTTCGGACGTCGAACTTAATTTATTAGCCAAAGTATTTTACAGACATTCTCTTACTCTGAGAACTAGGTTGTGAGGGAGTCATAGTTTTAGTCTTAGTATTCAAATCTGGTGACGGACCAGCTCTTTAATTTTTCCAACTTCGCTCGCATTTGGAATGAGCTGAAGATTTTTACTTCCTACGGACCATTGAGCTTGAAAAGCCGGAGAAATGACGCAGACAACACGGTAATTAGAAATTAGAAATTAAAACCCGTGTACTAAATGAGAACCGCGGTCACAGGCAAAGGAAAGGTTTTAGAACACTACTTATCTCCATTTTTTCCAGTCACCTGGAGAAAATGACTCAATTTCTTTTTACTGGCTGGCTAATTATCACTTATTTTTTGCTGTGAAAAAAGGAAGGAATAGACATTCCCGGCTGGGAAAATGACTTTTTAGTAAAAATCCTAGCTGGGAAACGCCCTTAAGGTAAAGATCCTGGCTGGATATTGTATTTTAACATCTACCTCTAGCTGGCTTTGGGGAGCGGATCAGTAATTTTCCCACAGAAGTTACTAATCAACCAAAAAACACTTAGTGACTGTCCAAATATATGCTGGAGGCGATATCCAATCACTTTCGAATTTTTTCTCGTTGAGTACTCCTGAGGTTAACGCAGCGGAATTGCAAACTGTACAATGCCGCCAGCAGGAGTCTTCACGACGGTTTTGCGAGACATCTAAGGTCCACGAGTCCCAGTTAAAGTACGGCTTTTACCGTCAAAGCATGTCAAAACCATGCTTGTTTTCCTCGAATTTATTTTCAAGTTCCTCATAAATAAAGCTCTACCAGCGTCCACCGGAGAATTTTATGGGCAAAAATGTTAAGGATAATTAATGTAATTAATTTAAAATTAGTTGTCTCTGCGCAATAGATAACGCCTTGACCTTGCACGTCGAAGGTTCGGGGCTTGTTTCCCGCTAGAGAAATTTTTTTTTTGTCGTTTTGTTTGGTTTTGTTTTTTTCTTAAAACATATTTTCATTTTTTGACAGACTTAAAATACACCGCTAGACTAATTGCAAGTTCATTATCAACTTTTATTTCTAAAATAATTAATCCACGACTTAGCCATAGGAATGGCTAACTAAATTTATTAAAGATAGGGGTTATTTTGGCCGCCTTCCATTTGCTTGGGAAAATCTCAGTTTCTATCTGTTCTTAATGCTTGATAATGAAGGCCAAACAATACCACTGGCCACTTTCCATTACTTACGCTTTCCTTTCGTTTACAAATATTTCACTCAACAACTTTCAAATCGTTTTGACGTTTGGGGCTAGGGAAACGAGACGAAGATAAAACAACGGTTTGAAATTTGTTTTTGGTATCTCCCTTGCCAGGTCAGGGCCGATAGTTGTGAAAACAATTGTTGATAGGATCAACCAAATCGTTTTCGATGTTTCGATTTTTTCCTTATTTGCGCGATGTTACCCCATCTTTTGAGCGCGTTTCCTTTGCTCATTTCCAGATTATTTCTGAAATACTGCCGCTTAGCTACTTAATGGCATTGTTTGTCTCATACCTTTTTCTTTCGCTAAGCGGAGGGACCTTGTCAGATATTCTGTATCTAAAACACTCACATGAGAAGGAGACTACCCTCTCAGTTATCCTGCATTTTTCCACAGGCAGTATTTGTTATCACAACCAAAACAATGATTCATCGGATCCCATCAAAATCAAGTGCTCATTCCCAGAAAACTTTTGTTTCAAATTTGACAAGAAAACGGAGGATAACAAACAAGTCACCATTCAAGGATGTATATCCGCTGATCAATGCAGACAGTTTGATGACGAACATTTGCAATGTTGTGAGGGAGATCTTTGCAATAATAGTAAGTGTCATGGTTATACAAACGCAAAACTTTATTAAGTTACGCGCACTCTAAGATTTTGACAATGTTGCAAAACAGAGACAAGTTGGAGAAGAAAACTGATCGAAAAGCAAATATGGTGTACTCCTACTGAATTTTTTTTCTTTCTTCTTTTTAATTGTTACCTCCTTTGATTATAATGCTTCTATTTCGCAACTTGTAAGTCTTCGGCCAATCTCAGCTACGGCAGGATTAAGGTAGGTGTGTTTCAGATGTTGTTCAGTGATGGCACAGCGGGTTCTTCGTGATACACGGTAAGTCTTCGGCTATTTGAATCTGTGTTTACCCAATTTTAAGGTAACGGACTCATTTCATGAGGTGTTTTTGCTATACTTTGTGGTTGCACAAGTTCCTTTTTTCGTGGAAACGCCTTCTCATCACGACTGGATCTTATAATTACAGAGGACACGAGTGTACAAGCTCAGTTAGCCAGGTAAGACGCGCTTTTGTCCTCGCCGAAGGGTAGTAAACAAGTTCCACTGTCAACAAGTGACAGTGTAGTAAGAGAAGAGGTTTTAACACTATATAAGCTCTAACGAGTCTGTAACCCTTTTAATCTGACCGCATATTATTGGAAAAAACTTCCCCACTTCCATTTATAGTACAGTGCCAGGCCCGTAGCCAAATTTTAAGGGAAGATGCAATCCAACGAGGAGACGGGTCAAATGAGGCCGAAGGGGCAAATCTCTACGTGGGGTGGGGGGGCGGGGAGTAGAGCTTTGGTTGTCTGAGACTGAATTGCAAGCAATTTTGCAACTAGGCAACTAGGGGGTCCGGGGGTATACTCCCCCGGAAAACTTTTAAATTCAAGCCCTCTGAAATGGCTGGAAATGTATTTAAAACTATCATAGTGTGGAGAAAACGTCAGCAACAAAGAACGTCGCCATAAAAAAATTTTTCTCCACTGAAACGCATGATACAACATACCTCCATGTTGAGCTGAAGCAGCTGATGCGCTTAGCTAGTAAAAATCTTTTCCCCCTCATTCAACGCCGGGCCGAGATACTGATAATAAAAGTTAATTAACAACCATAATCCTAAATGGACTTTTATTGAGCAATGAAAAAATGTCTTGTAGGCACACCAAATCCCCGTTTTATACTTTACGAAGGCTAAAACACATTTTCTGGAAAGAGTGAGTCAGGTTCAGTGTAACCTCTTTTACAGCATTTTCAATTTTACTATACAATCAGTAAATTAAAATAGAACAATACTCCTACTTCACTTTGTTTTAAATCGCTGATCAATGAAAAAGTGGACCTCTGTTGCCTGTGGTGGGGAGGGGGGAGGGGGGAGGGGAGGGGGGGTGAGCGCAGCCGTCGCACCCCCACTCCCTACGGGCCTGATACTGTACCTTTGATCACAATTTGATATATTTATTTTCTTTGCAGTCATAGAAGCCACGACTCCCGCATCTGCACCAGAAAATTCCACGGTCATTAACAAAGTTATTTACATTTCACTTGGCGTCACGTCTGCTATTTTGCTGTTGTCGGTCGCTATTTTCGTCTGGTGCTACAGAAAAAGAAAGGAAAAGACTATTGAAAGGTTTTTGCAGCTCTGATAATGCGTAGCTGGCGGTTTTTTTGTTTGCTTCTTTTTTCTTTTCAGTTTTTGGACGAAAAAGAAATTGTAGGGAAGGGGACGAGGGGAGAAGTAAGTGAGAAAAACCTCCTGTATTCAACCCTTGAGATTTTTAAAACGCCGCTTCCAGTTTTTGTGAAAGGATGATGTGACATGTTTCGAGGTCTGACGTCAGCTGACGAAATGTCGCGCCAAAGTTTTTTTGTTTAATGTTTTTTTGTTAGCGCTTTCCCGATAATCATTCTCTCTCTTCGCCCCCTCCCCCATCGTTTTCTGTTTCGACCTCGGTTCAATACTCTTACTTTGCAAACCACGAATAAAAAAAGACACCAAAGAACCTGCAGCTATGCTGGCTACATAAACACGGAAATAAATCTAACACTAAGAAAAGCTTTTGTTTTGTCTTTTTATCTAAAAGTAGCGATTAATCTTCGCTTCCCGTGACGTTATTGGCTAAATTACATCACGTGTCAACAAAACCGACATAGTGCACCTGCCAAGATGACAGATAACATTAACTAGAAGTCAAAACCATTAATTAATTTGCAATTCTTATGAAAAATAACCAAAGGACATTTTTCATTGTCGAAAGATGCATGGACAAAAAATGAAAAATTCTAAGAATAGTCTGATGAGGACGAAGTTTGCTTTTTAGATATGCCTAAAGTGAATTAGAATGGAATAAGTTCTTTTTTTTAGTCACTGCTCGTGAAGGATGGTGCCCTTGTCTGAATCGTCCTTTTAAAAAAAAAATCAGTTTCTTTTATCCCCACTCGGCTATTTTGATGTAGCTTTTTTTTTTCACGCGGAGAACATCTCAGCTTCGGCCATTATCCTCCCGCGATGCACCAGTAGCCAGGTGCAATAATTTTTGTTGTTGGTAAAGTTTACAGATATACGAGTATATGTTGCTATAATATTGTGATCAGCGTAATAATCCAGCATTCTTTTTTTTTCCTTTTTCTAGGTCACTTTATTCACAAGACGAGATTACTCCTCCTGACAAGTGGGAAATTTTGCCTGAGCAAATAGACTTTGAGGAAGAGCTGGGGAGAGGAGAATTTGGTGTTGTTTATAAAGCAACCTTTAGTAAGAGTGATGAGATGGAGGTGTTGGTCACTGAGACTTCAAAATGGCCTGTATCATCCATGAAGCCGAAGGCACCACAGGTGGTGGCTGTCAAAATTTTACATGGTAAGAAATACTGACTGTTATCTCCACAGACAAAGACATAAAGTCTTAACTGCCTTTCAGTCTTCTTCATATTGTTGTAAGAATCCTTATGGATTTAAGTAACTCTTTGGGAACTTTAAGATCTCAGAAAAAAACAAAACTCGATTCTTTTCGAAGACGTGATCGCATGGTAAAACAAATTACACCACCCAGAGACATTCCATTTTTAAAATCGGGATTGTCTCTCGTTGGTGAAGAGCACGGCAAAGTTGGAATGAGTGCAAGTAATTTGTGGTTTCTTTATTCTCTATGTAAGTGTGAAAAAATAATAAACGCTGTTAAGTTCCAAAAAGTAGGTTTAAGCCTATTAGCTCTAAACAAATGCATCTCTTACGAATTTACATTTCCCCAAAACCGAAAAAAAAGTAATGATCTACAGAGCCTGAATTAAAGGCAATAATGAAAATAAGTTTAAAAAATGCAGCCTCTAGTCAATACATGTATACCCTGCGAGCAGTGGTTTCTCCAGGCCTGGAGAAACCACTGCTCGCAGGGTAATACATGTATGACAACTCTTCCTGAAGGATCGGATGCATTTGATGATTTGGTCTCCCCTTTTTGTGATCCATGTTGCCCAGTTTACACCTCAAGTCATTTGATAATGTGGAGAACTAAGGGGAAGAAATTATGAAACTGAGCTACGAAATCACCATGCTCACGTCTAGACCCAGGGGGTTTTCTCTTATTAGAAGCTATACAAGTGTGAGCGGGGCCGAAGGACATGGTTTTTAACCCCTTTGCGTGTGAAATTGGGAAAAGATTTCCACGATTTTGGAAAAACAGATTAAACGTGAAACAGGATTCGGTTTTGCTCTGCCTTGTACCAGGTCTGTATTTATTTTATTCTATTCTATTGTTGGTTTATTATTTATTTATTCATTTATCTATGTATTTATTGTTTTTATTTCATTCGCCTTTTATGAACAGCGGTTTAGGTAGTGAGGGAAACCGCATAGTCACATCACACTACCACCCGAATTTTCCAGGAGTACCTCCCGGGGCTGCTTGGAGGGTGCAGTGGTAAAATAAAAATAATAACAAATGTCTGAATATTTATCGATATTCTATTACACGGTAGAATGCATCTGTGTATACCCTTGTGCATTATAGGATGAGTGGGAAGCGGTAAAAATGGACGAATATGTTTTTCAAATGAAACATTTTGCACTGAATAATGCTGAAAAATAATGATAATAAAATCAATGTCATTTTATTTAATTATCTTTAGATAATCCATCTGAAGCACAGAGAGAAGAGTTCACGTTTGAGATTGAACAGATGAAGCTGTTGGGTTCACATAAGAACGTTGTATCCATGGTTGGATGCTGCACGCTTCAGGAGAAAATGTTCCTGGTTATAGAATACGTTCCGTGTGGTGACCTGCTGACGTGGCTACGCCGCAGAAGAAAAAAGGTATGGACATGACCAATTATACAATTAGTATATATCGAAATTATCAAGAAACAGATGTAGGGAGACAACATTACGAATATATTTTGGTACCGTCAGAACATTTTGTACAACTTATTTAAGCAACTGCAGTTGCTTGAAAGTTATAAAGGCATTTAATGATTACTAACAATAATAATTATATTTTTGTTACTTGCTTGATGTTTAGATCAAAGAACTTCAAGCTACCGAGAGATCTTATGCTGACAAAGAGGTTCTGAAAGATCAGGGAGAGACCAGAGATCAAGTAGGCTTGTATACTGTAGTTTAACTTTTCCATACTAGCTCTGTCCTAAAACATTCATTATCCAGGGCCCGGTTGCTAGAAAGATGGTCAAGTTTAACCCAGGATTAAGCGAAATTTTAAGCGCGGTTTTCTTGCTAAGAGAATGTAACTCAAGCTTGCAAAATACTGTTGAGCTTTTACTCTGAGACACAGTAATGATTTACACAAAATGTTTCTCTAAGAAATGCATAGGAAGGTAAATACAAAAAGTAGAACAAAATCTTAATCCTGGATTAGCGCTAATCAGCCCTTAAGGAACCGGGCCCAGAGTGCTTGTTTGTTTTATGTCTGGTTTACCTAGCTATCTAATCTACCCATCCGATTGTTGTTGAATGGTTTGCACGTAACGTAATCATAATTCAAAATAAAGAATTATTTATCCTTCTGAGTTTCAATTTGGTGAACTATTAGAGCAACTAAACTCGTGTATTTCTACAAAGTTTCAGTTCGAAAGGGTTCTTCATTTTGTGACAGAACACGTTTGAGTATTCTAATATATTGCGTGACGCGACAATAATTGGCAACAAAAGCTGTCACGTAACTGTCGGTTAAAGAGTGACATATCTTTTTTTTTAGATTTTGCCACCTGAACAGTCCTTGTTTTTTGAATAAGTATTAAGTTTAATGTCTATGAGCTCTCTAGAGATGAGTACTCGCTTTATGGCAATGTTTCTGTTAGTTTCCGGCCGCCATATCTGCGTTCCTCAGAGGGACGCCAACATGGCTGGCCTCTCTAAACAAAGCTCTATAAATTTAGGTAACACACTTCTCCGAATACCTCGCAAACGAAAAAACTGCACAGACCTGAATCTTAACAAGACTTTTTGCATATCCCTTAGATTCCTGAATTTATTCATTTCCACACAGGTCAGTAAACTTGCTAAGAAACAGATAAAGCAAGCGGAGAAAATACAATTGAGTATGGAAATGACCCCATTACTACAAGATAACAGCGAGGACACAGCGTCGACTTCTTATCATCTCGGTGACGAGGTATGAAAGAAGTCAACCAGGAGGGCTAAAAGATTTTAGATGACGTTTTTTTCTACTATATATGTAAAAACTGCTTAACTCAACTTAAACGAGGCCTGTAGCTCATGAAAGGAATTCTCGTGTAATCCTTGTAATCCCGACTAGTGCAATCGATAGAGTCGATAATCGATAATGATGGATAAGTCTCGGTAAAGAGCGATTGATTAAATTGAAAATCGATAAAAATCGATCGAGGAAAAACGTGTTGCTAATCGATAATTATCGACTTTAATCGATTTTTATCGAAGTTGTCGATTTTAATCGGCCGCTTACTTAATTAGGTTAACATTGGCAAAGAACGTTGTTTCCGAATCATACGTACATTATTTATGTGGCTTTGGACGGTTAAATTTGTAGCGAAATTTATTTCACAAATTACACTCAATATTCTAACGAAACATTTTCGGCCAATCGACAGGATAAAAAAGAGTTATAAGCAACTGACTCAGCTTGCTTGCACTGGAAACTGTTCAAGTTGAACCCTACAATGTATAGTTCAAGTGGTGAGGATAATGTTCAGTGTACAGTTTTTCAGCAAGACCCTTAAATTGCCTCTTCAAAAAGCATATTGGAAAGGATCATTTAAATCGTGATCTGTAAATATGCAAAACAAAGTAGATAATGAACTCCGCAACTAAATGGAAAAAAAAGTATCATGACCATAAAACAAAAATGTGAGAGAAAATCATCATTTAAAACAGAAAACATCTCCATATTGCTAATATAATTTGCTGTAAAATAATGCATCATTGGATTTTGAACCTTGGAGGCAATCGATAATATCGTTAAAATAGTTAAAAACCATAGCGCTGTCAATTGATTTTCTGATATCAGTTTTTATCGATTGCACTAGTCATGTGTAATATGCAAAAGTTGTCTCTTTAGTTAATTATCCGGGAACCGAGAAGCGCCTCTTTATGAAAGAATTAGTTAACTATAAAGACATTTAAGAAAATCAGAGAGAGGGTTGTTAATCAAGAAGGCCTACCACAAAGCTAGATTTGGTATTGAAGATTTTACTGATCCAAGTCTACTAAAGATCCGGCTGCCTCACTGGTTTGTCGTTGTGGTTGTGCCTTCACAAGTGTTTCTTATACCACAAAACGTAATCATGAGTTAATCGTCAAATTTATTTATTTAGACTAAGTACGTTTTACCTAGATTTTAAAATTCTCCCCTATCTTCTTGTCCTGGCAGCAGTAGGTCATCTGGTTGTTGTTGAACTTTAGTCTTTAATTCACCGAAATTCTAAATGACCATTGCATAGAGTAACAACAGAGTGGAAATTTGAGGTATACGTGAACGGACAGAATACAAGATTCCACGACTGATATTACATTAAAGAATGATAATGGTTAAACGGAGAAAATGGCCAGTACTGGACCAATAAATTACGGTTTTTGTTTTGCTTTGTTTTTTACAAAGGAAAGTAAACCTGCTAAAGATCGGACAAAGCAGGAGCAGCAGACGAACGAGAGCATGGAATTGACTTCGTTATCAGAAGAAATCATTAATGATGAGGTCCGACAGGACCTGGCGTCGACTCTTCAAGGCCATCTTGTATGAAGGAAATACTTAAATATCTCATTTTATTTTTCTTAAATTCATTTATCGTTATCAAAAGAAAGCAATGATGATGTCCGACAGGATCTGGCGTCGACTTCTCAAGGCCATCTTGTAGAAAAGAAATACTTAAGAGAGTGTCTCTGTAAGAGCGGTCCGGTCGATTTTGCTTGAGACACAGATTACGCTCATTTCTTGTGTGTTGTAAGACATTCATGTACCTATACTAAAACCACAATCCGTTTGATCGGATCTCTTTATTTTTCAGAGTTTTACGGAAATTAAATTTCACTCGAGCGAAGGCCTGTCGGGACACTTTTCAAGACATTAATTTGAGGCAACTTTGGCGGACAATTTACAACAAACTACGGGACTCCGCAAAAAACAAATACCACAGCCATGTATATTAACTCTATCTTATCCATCGAGGCGACTTTCGTGAACATCACGTTTCAATCAAGCAAACAGGAAGACTTGAACGACACCTTATCTGTTTGCTTAAGTCACACACCCGAAAACCGATCAAATTCAAGGTACATTTTTGAAAAAGTGAGGCGTTCTTAACTGATCCAACTAATATAGCTAGGACGTAGGTGCCATAGAAAAGGTAACTACAGAAAAAAACTTTGCGGCCCGACCTTTACTAAAGCTTTATAACTCCGTGAACTTACCTAATTTTCGGCAATCTCCAAGTTTTGCCGCCATTTTGAGGGACTTGTCAACATGAAGCGTAGCAGATATAAATCGAGCAGGTAGACCTAAAACCGTCAGAAATACATACGAAAGCATTCAAATGAACTTCACTTTCAATTCAAAGGGCAAAATTTGAAATTGTTCGTTAAACCTACCATTCCTACATCCCCATGCGACCGTTTCTTCCAACAATTCAAACACTACAACTAGTGTTCGAATTTCCCTCGTCGATTCCACCGTAAGAAA